GGGGAAGGAGGGGTGTCAGGCCTCTGCCAAGCCGGCCCTGAGGTGCCTCGGGGGAAGGAGGGGTGTCAGGCCTCCGCCAAGCCGGCCCTGAGGTGCCTCAGGGGGGAAGGAGGGGTGTCAGGCCTCTGCCAGGCCCGTCCTGGGGCACCTCGGGGGGAAGGAGGGGTGTCAGGCCTCTGCCAAGCCGGCCCTGAGGTGCCTCGGGGGGAGGAGGGGTGTCAGGCCTCCTCCAGGCCACCGTCCTGCCCCCGCACGGGGCTGAGCAGCGCTGGGTGACAGCGGGAGGAAGGTTTGGTAAATTAAACCCAAACTGATGCCCTTTATGATCAGGGAAGATGGGAAAAGTGTTAATCCCAGCACGCCTTCCCAGCATCACTCTGTGCCCATGGAGGGATTAATCTGTGGCTCCGGTTCTTCTCTGAAATCTTTGAAGCATTGAGGTGGCATCCTCACTGGGAGCGGGGCCAGTGCGTCAGGAAACAAAGTTAGGAAGGTGCAGAAGGCTCTGCTGCATTGAAAGTGGTTTCCTAAAAAGAGATGGGTTACAACTTGTGTGCCTCCTGCCCATTCGGTGTGGCATAGGGTCAGGTTGGGCACACCGTTTGAGTTCAGCCAGCTGGCTTACTTCTCTGTCCAGCAAGGAGAGTTGGTTGCATGTTGGCCCTGCACGAGACTTGCATAAGAGCTGAGCCCCTGTTTGTCACCTGTTTGTAGAAACACAACAGGAAAACATTTGCTGCACCAAAGAGTTTACAAATATAAGTCAGAAAGCAAAAGAATGGTCCATAAAGCACCTCAGCTGTCTGACCGTTGCTGAATCTTTGCAAGATGCCTGACATCCAAAATAGGTGACTTGCACTGTTTGCAGCCTGTTCCGTCAATGTCTGTGGCAAAAACAGGTTGGGTGGAAAACATTGTGCACATGGCCAGTGTACTGGAGTTTGCATTCATGTTCCCTAATGCTTTGTTTCTCTCTCTGCTGTCATTATTTTAAATTTAAAAACAATCTGAGCAGGATTCAGATTCTGACAGGCTGCTAAAGACAATTAGCTGCCTCCCTCTTATCCCTTTTTCTATTAAGAGACATTTATACAATGGACTCCTTAAGTTAAAACACTTCTCTTCCAGCAGACATTTGCTGTTACGTGCCCTAAGTTTGGCAGACCAAGGTTAAGCATCTCGCTTTGCTTTCTATTTACTGCTGTCTTGATTTGCAGTTGGGTGCTAACCTCAAGGAAGTACCCATCATTCCAGGCCATCATGTATTCTGTGCTCTAGTACATGCTGTAATCGATAATTCATGTGTTGATAACAGCCCCATTAGCTGAGATGAAGCCAGTGTCCTTACTTATGATAAGAATATTCCACTTTCCTAATGGCTTTTTTTCTTTTCCAGAGAGTTGTGGTTGTGGAAGACATAAAACGATGGAAGTCTATGCTTGAGCTTCCTGGGCAACCGAAAGAGAATCTGATCGAAGCTTTGGAGGAGCTGAAGAAGAAAATACCTTCCAAGGAAGTGTTACTTTCAACAAAAATAGGTACATCTTGTCTGATCTAGACTGCAAATATTAGACTGTCTTGTGTCTGCTTGGTTTGTCAGTATGGAAGAGACTAGCTTGCAAGCTTTGTAAGAAATGAGTGTAGCTGCCAATAAAAAATTGTTGATATCCAGTCTGCAGTTTTCAGAACTTGTACCGGAAAAGCCAGCTATCCTCGAACTCCTCCCAGGTTGCCTGCATATTACCTTATACTACATCACCCCTTCTGTGGTCAAATTTTTGAAGAGCTCTTCTTGGGCACCTGTGTGTCTTATTCCTTCTCCTGGTATCTACCAGGGGCATGGCAGAGTGTTCTCCTGCCATCTGAGATGTGACTCATCTATTTCACCTGTCTGAATCCTCTGAACATGTAAGAAATTCTCCTTGGATTGGCTCAGAACTCCTTACTGTGTCCTCACACTGAGAAATCCCCGGCAGGCAGGCAGCTCCATGACACAGGCTCTTTTCCATAGGACTTGGGGGAGGGATAATGTGAGACCACATGGTCCCCACCTTTCCTCCCCACAGAGAGCATCCTGGCGAGAGAGAGTCTTGCTGGCCTTTGTTTGCCATTAGAGCAGCTGGATCTCTATTCAGAGAGGCCCCCTTGCCTTAGAAAAGGAGATGCAAGCTGCCCTTTTCCCCATACTTCTGGATTGTCGTTTCATTTGCCATCTTCAGTTTATTCAGGCTTTTCCTGAGATTTTTTTCCCCAGTGCCTGCCTGAATGTGGCTGGGCTGGAAGAGCCACTGAAGCCTAACAGTGACATCTCCTGGCCAACAGCGCTATGGTCCGAGAGAAGTACCCCACTGGAAGAAGGTCCCTTTTGTCTCAGAGGAAAGCTTCTCTTGCGCTGGCAGGCCTTGTCGATTGGGAAGATTCTGCTTGGAGTCGCCTTGATGTTTGTGTGTTAGAATGCTATAGCCATCACCGGCAACATCTGTTTCTTTAAAGGGGTTTTCAGTTTAAAACCAGCATTCCTTATAGGCATTCCTTACAAGCTTTCACCAAATCTAGTATCTGTGTAGAAAATTAACATAGCCCTGTGTTACATAAGTGTCACTCCACACCTTGGTGACTTGGGAAGGTAATTTTCACACGTATTGGACAATTCTTTGCTAATTGCTCAGGCAAAAATCACTGCAGAAGTCAAGGAGGGAGAACTTAATAATTCTATATTTATTTATGTTTGTGTCAATTCTCTGGTTGTTTTGCTGACACTGCATGAATTTAAAATGTGTGTGGCTGCTTCAGCACCGATATAATTTGTCTGGTGTCCATTATATTTGTCCATCTACCAAAGCTGAAGGAGCCGTTACTGTTTTCCAGGTCACACAGTGAATAAGATGCGCAAACATTCCGATCACGATGTGGCCAGCCTCGCCAGTGATATTTACACAGAGTGGCGAACTTTCATCAAAGACCATTCAAACAAGCCCTCCATAGAGGTTAGGAGCGATCCCAAGTCCGAGGCTTTCAGAAAGAACGCACGGAAGCTGCTTTGTGAAGCCCTGGATGTAGAGGTAGTGTTCAGATCTGTTTGTCTTTGGCTCAAAGACTTACTTCTTGCAGGAACAAGTTAAACAAGCCTTTTTCAGACGTAGCTGCTGTAAAGCTGGACCTGCTTGCAGAGTGGGGACAAGACCAGCTGATCTGTTCCTATTTTCAGTGATTCACTGCATGTCCCTGTTTATAAGTAGCTTTGTTGTCAAGGTAGATAATTTTATTTTTTGGTTGTAAACCAAGTAAACATGCCTGTTGTGAGGTGTATTTGCTCTCATTTACGTAACCAGTCAACAGAATAGTTGTGTATCTACTGCAGTTGGGCTGTACGAGAGAAGAAGGAAGTTAGTAGAACATAAAGTTTTTCCTACTACTTAACAGCTGTGAAAGCAACGCTGGGACCTTTTGGGTGTTTCATATTTAAGTAATTAAACATTTGTAAATTTAAATCTGTTGCAAAAACAGAGAGGCAAGGTTGACAGTATATAAAGTGGTGATAAATACCAGATCCCTCAGGTATCTTTAAGTAAATGAACAGAGCTTTGCTGTAAGGCTTAATGACTAATTTGCTTAGTCTATTAAATGCCATAATAATTATCCTTTTTTAATTTATTCATTAATTATCCTTTAAATGGCAAGTCAAGTGATAAGCACTCAAGAGTTTCAAAGCTATGTGTTTGCTAGCTATGAGAACAACTTCTCCAACTTCCAGTCTGTCTGGACTGAGGCAGCACAAAAGGATATTTTGCTGTGGGAATGCCTCAGAAAGGTGGGAGCTTACCTTTGCCAGGCTGCTGGGTCACGGTTAGTTCTTCAAAAGCAGATCTATGCATGGTGATAAGACTGGTAGTAAAGTCTGAAGCTGTGGGACATAAAGGCAACCACCCTGAAACAAGTAGTATTGGGTAAAGCAGAGTTGCCTCTGAACAGGACTCACCTGAAAGCACACCAAGGAAAACCCCTTCTAGCTTGCACCATCTGTGCCAGTGGAATTTACAGCAGCAGATGCAGAGCATGTATAGGCAGGGGAGCCACAGAGGTGCAGCAAACAGGGAACAGGGACACCTGAGAGGCTGATAAAAAGGAGAAGGGAAGGTGGGGCTGAATGGATCCAAGGGGCTTCTAGTGCTGCCCAGCAGAGGTGTAATTCATGATGGGTAGTAAAAACAGAATGGGCAAAGGACTTGGAGGAATACTACTTGGCACACTGGAATCTCCTGCATGCAAAGCATGGGAGATTTCCCATCACAAAAGGCAGAAGTGAAATTAAAACCATTTCTTGATGGGTGGGGGATTTTTTTCTAAGCTGTGCTAAATTACAGGTTTTGGCACATGTTGAAGCAATAACTACATAATTAACATTTAGCAAATCCCTTTCTGCATTCTTAATTACACCTTCTACACACAGATTGCTCACATTTCCCTTTATAGCACCAGGCAGAGGTGCCAAGTGTTTGGCATGTCTTAAGAGTTGCTGTTGGAACCAAGTTTAAAATAGTATCCAAGGTACCTTATATCAGCAAGATCAAAAGTGAGCTTTATGGAGACGGTACAACATCGCTTATAATTGCTGTTGAGCTAGATACACAAAGCTAGTTGCAGATTAGTTTCCTGTTGTGATGGCAAAGTACTGCCACCCAGCTGGAGATGTGGATATGTTCCCTGCTACTGACCACGTTGCCTTGTTCCTTAATTGCTAGGGTGGAATTAAATTGCTCTTCCTGTTACACTTGTGATGGGAAGTAGATTTCCTTGAATCTAAGCTGATTAATGAAGAAACACTGAAAAGCACCAAACTCCAATTTCAATCAGTTGGTCTCCTTATTAAATTTAAAGATCTAATTTTATACTTTGCTGTTTTCAGATTGATCACCCACTGGCTGAAAATATTGAGCGAGAGGCTTTTCATCTCTCTTCCCGTCTCATTAGCGCGCCATATCGCAGAATGGTGCGAGCTCTTGTCTTCTCGTTAAAGCACAAACCTGAAATGCGAGCAGAAGTCAAGACTGGCACGCTCACTGTCCCTGCATTTGTACAGAGCCATAAAAAGTGAGGTGGTGTGTTTGATCTTGAGTGAGAACTTCATGTGCCTACATCTCGGTGGAACTGGGAGCCCTTTCTGTCGTGAGGGGAGCACAGGAGCGCTGACAGTGTGACTCACGCGGCACCACTCTATGAGCAGGGCTGCCTAAGACAAGAACTACTAATGATGAAAGTGGTGCTGTAAATCTGACTTGGTGGCAATCTGTGTGGGCTTGTTGCAAGAAAAGTTTCTTCTACTCTGCTGTATATCTTCCTGCTACAAAGCAATCGCTGACTCACCTGTTTCTCACTTCTGCCCAGTTGTCATACCTCAGTTTTGCTCCATCCCTGATGTGGATCTTCTGGTGTGATCAGCTGAATAACATAAAGGAGCAGCTCTGTGCTGGTGGGAAATACTGGGAATTCAGGGTAATTGGTCCATGGGAGGAGATTCCTAGTGGATAACTGCAAACTCTAGTTAACCCTAAATCAGCCGTGTCTGCTGCAGCTGGGCCCTGCCTGTGGCAAGAGCTGGCTGTTTTGCCAAGCCAGGTCATTTCCCTTTGCTGCATTCCAGAGTTGGATGCAAAACGGGCTTCAGTAACTTGCTATCCGTTATTCCATAGGCTCAGTCATCCTGCGATTGCGGGCATTTTCTAAACCCCTGGGGTGAAAATCAAAATGCTCTGGAGTATAGGTGCTATCTGCTGCTTAATGAGCAGCTCGCTCACACTTCCATACCTCACTCGTGATTTCAATGTGGTGCTTGTTCTTACTGTCATGTAAAAAAACCTTGACATTAATTTTCTAAATAAAATCAGGTTGTAAGGAAAATACTACTTTTAAAGGCTTTTTTTCCTCCAAAAGGAACATGGTTCAGAATGATCGTGTGAACAAATGTAAGGAACAGACTATTGTGTAAATTCCTTCTAGTTATTAAAAACTGGAAATCTTGCCTCTCATATTTGCTCTGATTTCTTTAGTGCCAAAAGTCATCTTGTTCTCTGTAAGCTATTAAGGCTGCGAGAGGCACAGTGTTTCTCTACTGCTACGTAATAAAGTGCTCTGTCTTTTCTTTGTGTGTGTGTATACGTACTCAAGGGACTGGTCACAAACCTTTTTCCGAGTTACCAGCGTGGACAGAACCAAATGCAAGGATGAGTGAAACCTGCCTATTCACAGTCACAGGAATTGAAGTGTAACATACCGTAAGGAAGTGTCTTTTGATCGGTCGTGGTCAGCACTCTTCTTTCGGAAGAGTCACTTCAGGACAAATAATGCAGTGGGAAAACTATGAATTGGTCTTTCTTCAGGTCTTCACCCTAAAACACGACTGACTGTCATTATGTGGACCTGATAAATACTTTTTTCTTCTGTGGACGCTAGAAGCTAAAGAAACAGCCAAAACTTACCTGAGGTGTTGAACTCCATGTCCTGTTTTCCTGGGCCAGCGCAAGACCATTTTTTCTGTCCACACTCTGAAGGTATCTTCAAACAGCTGGCTTTTCTGAAAAGAGTCGTGCTCTGACATAAAGACATTTCATGTGTAGAAGTTAAGTGAGGTGTGTTGGAGACAGTATGAGACAGAAACTGGCAGATAGAGGGGTGGTAACTGTATGGGTAATACATCAATGAAGATTTAACAGTTGATGACCAGGCTGTAGCAAAAGATGTGAAAACCCTCAATTTATTTCTTACAAGTAATTGGCTTCATTTCCCACGTAAGTAACTGCGAACTGCACAGCTGTCATCGAATTCACGTATGCTGGCCTGTCACAGAAGGTGTTCAGGGTGGATGAATGACCTAGGTTTTGCTTCCAGAGCTGCAAAGCCAAGACCCGCAGTATTTATTTTCAGCTCTCTGTTCCTGGTGCTGGGCTGGGTTTTCTCTATTTAGGTAATGTGTGAAAAGCAAAAGTTCTGAAAATGAGGAACTTCTGGTTCTAATGAAAGCCAGCCCAGAGAAGTTTCCCACACACATCAGATATCGTCGGAGAACTTTTGGCTCATCTGAACACATGGCCAGTTCACGCTGTGCTGTGTGTTGGTTTGCAAAACAGGTCTAGGCATCACCCAAATTGTTAGAGATGCACAGGGTGGGTGACAACTGAGGACAACTGCTGTCTGAAAGTGAACCGCAGATGGCAGCTCTACTCTGAAAACAGCAACTCAGCGAGATCCACTTTTGTTTTTACAGCGTAGCCCTGGGAACCAGCTGAGAGAGGGGAAAGTGATACGGGGGATTCTATCCCCTCGTATTAGTCAGCAGTTCCGTGGAAGGGATGCCATGCATGACACAGCACTGTAAAGTTTAAAAGCAAAAGCAAAAGAGACATAAAGAAGGACCTGCCAAGCCCAGAGTAGCCCTGTGCTGTTTGCAGTGTGTGGAGGAATGGGAAAATGGTGGGGAACACCAGCCTTGTCCTCAAGGTGTATTTAGAATAGAAAAAAAAAAAAAAAAAGTTAAACCTGACCTCATCCAATCCTTTGGATACCTTCAGCTCTTTAAGGTACACATTACAGAGATTTGTCTTTTTAATTTAATTCTCAGTATGTGCCAAATATTTTTCTTTTGGGTATTAATTTCAGGGTTGCAGAGTTACTACACACCAGGAGAAAACTCTCTTATGAATTTTATGGCTAATAGTTTTGCCCAATTGGAGCTAGGTGTATAACTCTGGGTCCAGCTCTTGCAATGTGATGTTGAAGCTGGCAGTTTCATTTGGGCTGAAGATTCACAGACTCAGCTTTGCATAAAATGACTGTCTGGAAGAACTGGAAAAGATCCCTGAGGGTTGGGCTCGAGACCTGCAGCACAGGATGAAACGCAGAGAACAAGGGAATGGTTTAAGGACCGAAACAGAGAGGAAGGTGGGGAAGGAAGACAAGAAGAGAGACAAAAAAAGCAATAGGCCAAAACAGAGCTTCATTTTCCCAAAGAGTGATGCTGAATGTGACAACAGGATTCTCCATACCTGACAGTAATCAAGTTTTAATTATGCCATAAAGACTCAATTGCCCCTTGGAGCAATCTCACCAACACAACTGCCTTGTTTTATTCCTAGTCACATGCCTGGGAAGCAGGCTGCTGCTCTTCCAGCTCAAGCCCCGTGCAGCCTGTTCCTCCTTCCCTCCCCTGGCCGCTGCAGCCCACGGGGACACTGGAGCTGTGGGGCTGGTGGAGAAGGCAGGAGGGCAGGGCTGGCCAGTTCCTAGGGCTGCGAGCCCCCCTAAACTGTGCGCCCTCTGGAAATCCCTTCAAATAGAGGGGCTGGAAGTGCACAGGCACCTGAACCCCGCACAGTGCACCGGTCACGAGGCTGGCCTGGCTCCGAAACGGCTGATCTGTCCTAGTTGGTGGCAAACACACTCCCAGGGGGTCCTGCAGGACCCTCACCAGCTCAGGTTCCCCTGCCACGTGGGTTACACCTGGGGCTGGGGGAGGAAGGAGCCCCTCACACATCCTAACATTCAGCCTCACTGGTCCAGGCACGCGTTTCTCCTCAATTCTGCTCTTCCTCCTCCAGTTTTCCTCGGCAGCTGCAGGGTGCCGGTAAGATGTGTTACAAAGGCAGAGACTCTCCACAAGCTCCTGTCTTCACGCTGGGGAAACCCTCTGAGATGAAAGGGGAGGATGAAAGGGCTGAGCGGTGGCTGCCTTGCGCTGGGTTTCTCTGGCGTGGTGCCTTTGAAATAGCTGGTTCCCTTTTTCCAGGGGAAACGTGAAATGAAGGAGGCACCCAATCTGGAGAAAAGGTTCTTTTTCTTTCTCTTTTCTTACCATATTAAGCCCAGCCCACTGATTTCTTTCAGCAAAAAGAGTAGATAAAGCCAACACCAGACCTATAGAGACCTGCTGTGCGCAGTGAAGAGAGGAGGGAAGCATCTTCCGGAGGTGAGTGCCATCCCCTGCCCACGCTGTGGGGGCTTGGGGAATAGAGGGTGGGCTCGGAGCATCACGGGGAGAGACGGAGGGAGAATTCACCCCTGCCCAAACCGACTTCTGACCCAGCTTCTGAAGAGCAAGTTTGGGAAGGCACTAGGTGACAGCTCGCTCCGTTCCCCATCAGCAGGCGCGGCTCAGGAGAGCTTTGTCCTGCCGTAAATTACTTGGGCGAAAGAAGACAGGAGTAGACAAGACCCTCCCTGTCCTTCAGAACAGAGAGTGCACAGCGGCTCGCTGCTTTTCATCTTTTAAGAGGCTCTTCAAAGGTTTCTTCACAAAGAACCCAAACTTTTAGATCTCCTGTGCTTCCCTGGGAGACCTGTAATGCGAAGGGTTTGCCAGGCTGGCCCCGGATGAAGAGATGGTGCAGCAAGGAGCAGCCAGGGATATCTTTTGGAGCCCTGGTCATTTGAAGTAGGCTCCAGGAACGTTCCTCCCAGGCTATGTTAGCACACCACAGGGCAGGAGAGTAATACGGAGCAGAAATTGGGGACTGGAGCAGAGCAGGGATGGGGGAATGCAGAAAAGAAGAGGTAGAGGGAGGGAAACGGGTCGGGCAGTTCCCCGGCGCGGCTGGACGCAGCCAGCAAACCCTTGCTCCTCCTCACTGCACCAGAGACACTGAATCTCCCTTTTGCTGCTTTAAATGGCTGTGGCACTTTGAAAGTGTTCTTAATGCTAACGAGTGAGCCCTCCCACAGCAGAGATCATGTTATGGAGGATACCACAAGGGCTGGAGAGCCCCCTTGCATTTTTTTATTTTTTTTTAAACACCCATCTGCACAGATGTTGATATTGCAGGATAAATACCCCCTGTTCAGGTGGATGTACTGGCATTTCCCAGGAGGGGAAACTGAGGCACAAAGGGACTACATGCCACAGGATGCAGAAAAAAGGAAACCCATGCCAGGGTTACACTGCAATTCATGATGCTCTAATTCTTCTGCTGGCAGTCCGCTAAACAACATCCACAGTCTCTGTCAATTAGACTAGAATATGGGATAATCCTTGCTAATTATATATTATTATATAGCAAGCAGTTATCTCCCTATAAAGGGTGCTCCTATAATGGACAAACACTGTTC